AAGTATATATGAAAGGAAGAAGTGCTGATAAATATGTTAAGTATATATATGAGAAGGAAGACGTTCCGGTAAATATGTTAAGTATATATGAGAAGGAAGAAGTGCTGGTAAATATGTTAAGAAAATAAAAGAAGAAACAGATCAAGATAATTCTGTAATATAGGAGTAACAAAATAACATCAATGTGATTGCACAGTAGAGAAGTAAAAAACAAAAAAAAACGAGTGGAATATTCCTCTAATAAAATAAAATAGGATGATATTAAAATAATTATTATTAGTAGTATAGAAGAGAAGGGGTAATCAAGACACACGGTGGTGTGTCGTGCAGCCAAAACAACATGCTGCAGGACACACTGTGTTATTAACAGGAGTTGTATTTTAACGATTTTCCACATTTCATATCTCTGACTATGGTAATCCAAACTAACACATATTTACAGTGGATGTGCTCTACTGAACTCTTATTACACATACCAAATTTCAAGACAATCCATTAGGGAATACTTGAGATATAACATCTCAAATTTTGATTGCGTTTCTTCCTCTTTTATTTTTGATTTTTTTTTTCGCACCAAATGTATGAAAACATTATTTGATAGAAAAACTTACTTAATTTTTATGTTGTTTTTTTAAATTTGATACAATGATGGATATTTACATCCTACAATTACGAACTTCATTTTGTGTAAATATAAACCACGTGTGCAAAGTCATTCAACAAAAACCGCTCAAATTTAACGAAACTTTTTGCGCATGCCTACGCTAAAAGTCAAGTGAGCTATTGGTCTAACATTTCTACTATAGCTTCACGTAAGAGTAAAAATAAACCAATTTTAGTTTTTTTGTCATTCGGATTAAAGAGGGCTGACTTAGAACAGCAAAACTGTAAGGTGAAAGGACGTGCAGATACATAAGTATTGGTTAGGCCAAGCAAACTAGATTATCAGTTTCTAGCTCAAGTTTTCAAAATAGTCATACAGGTGGACGATTATCATTTATTATTCATTGCCAACTTTTCAGCACAGATTTACTACATTTTATGAAATTATCCTAATTAAAGAGCATTTAGCGTCACGTGGTATTATCTTAAGCAATTAGCATACACAATGATGCTTGATACTTCTGTACTGATTGCATGGAGGTGATGACAAGAAACTGTTAATCTAAATTCCATGGCGTTACTATAAAGGAAGCTATTAACACTTTTTTAGAGAAGAAAACTACCACCATATATATATATTAAGGAATATGGTTGGTTCTGTAAAGTAAAGGCCTCTTGTTCCGAATAATAGGATTGCAATCCTAAAGCTAATGTGGGTCACTATTAAGTGTCACTTTCTTAATTGGTATGGTTTGTTTGTGTTTATTGACAAAAAGTCATGATATCTAATCAAAAAACACACATTAGGTGTGAAAAAAGGTACAGCCAAAAAAGAATTGAATGTGCTACTTAAAGGAATGAAATCAAAAAGATGAAAAGATAATGACGTCAGCGTTTGACGTAAATGATTGTCATGGTATCAGAAGAGGTTCGAGGAAATTGAGAATAAATCTATTTTCTGGAATAAATGTTTGAATTTATTTTCTGCCATAGAGTGTAGACGCACATCCGTATGAAGCAGCAGACAAGAAATATTTAACGAGGTGTAACTTTAATGTTGCATATGCTTTTTTTTATGCCACACACTGTTATCTTTCATCACAGACGGTCGGCAGTTTGTCTTTAATCTTGTGTGACCTGATCGGACATGTCTCAACGCTGTATCTCGTTGATAACGCAACGACAACCAAATAGTGCGGAGACGAACATTAACGTATGACGAATTACACACGTACGTTACTAAACAGAGCAGCATTATTTCACTTTATAAGGCAATAGAAGTCAGCAGCTGAGAACCATACATGTGGGAAAAAGATAGACATCGCACTCGCTCGCCTCTATCTAAATAAACACAGGACGAGTTTCACTCGACGATAGATTTAATGGGATATAACTGAATTTATTAAAGAATACATCTCACATATATAACTAAACAACAACTCTTTTTAACGCCTACAACAGTGTAACGTGTAAGATAACCTAAATTTCTCAGAGATACAATGTATTTCCTAAAGATTCTCTCTCTTTCGCTTCTGTTTGTTTGTTACGGATTTCGCGCAAAGCTACACGACGGCTATCTGCGCTAGCCGTCCCTAATTTAACAGTGTAAGACTAGGCTAGTCATCACCACCAACTCTTGGGCTACACTTTTACCAACGGGATTGACCGTCACATTATAACGCCCCCACGGCGGAAAAGGCGATGTTTGGTGTGACGGGGATTCGAACCCGCGACCCTCAGATTGCGAGTCGAGCGCCCTAACCACCTGGCCATTCTTCTAACTAAATACTGAAATAACTTTGTTGTAGTGCTTGAATGGATATTGTGGCTAATCTTCTTATTGGAAATGGTAATACGAATTTGATTGAAAGTAAAAAAAATTACCTTCACGGTGAGATCTCCCGGATTTGTTAAAATTGTCAAAGTGGTTATACGTTTTAGTTTAGACGTAAAGGTTTCTTTTCTTAAACCTAATTTAGTATAAAATGTCATTTTTCGTAATTTTAGAATATTTTTTCATAGCTTCAAATAAAAACACCCACTTACCCAGCTTTCTACCATTTTAACCGTTTAAGAATATCTCAAACTGGTCACTCAGTAAAATAAAATTCACGTTCCCATACATGTATTTAAGCTACAGACGATTTTCGTTAATGTGTAATACAACTGTTGCTTCTAAAGGCTTGTTTAAATACATACGACTTGCGTTGAAGAGATGTACGTTCGTTTCTAAAACAACTATTATAGGACACAAGTTTGGTTACTGTGAATGCAGCTATTACTTTAATAAATGTTTAAGTTCAGACGACTTTGACTACAGAGAAATACGTGGTCGTTTCTAAAGAACTGTTTGAAATATAGACGACTTTGACTACAGAGAAATTAATGATCGTTTCTAAAGTCTTGTTTAAATTACAGAGGACTTTTGTCACTGTTAAATAAAGGTGTTTATTATAAAGTTCTGGTTAGATTAGAGAAAACTTTGCAATGATATTGCTGTTGAAACTAAATACGTGATTCATGAAGTCAGTTTTTGAATACAATGAAATACATTTAATGTTTTCTAAAACTGTATGCTAATGTACAAAACTTTTGTGTTTCCAAGACGGTATTTAACACCTAGACATTTTTGGTTAAAGAAAAATAAAATTGACGTGTAACGCAATGGTAACGCAATTCGAGTTTTTAGAAGCTAATAACTATCACGTTTATAAATTTGACGTGTAAAGTGACGTAGTTAGAGTTTATAGAAGTAAATAACCATCACATGTTATTTAATTTACATCCTCTGTTACGAATAATCACAAAGGTATACACTAAATTATTACATCTACACATAGTTGGCGAAACTAGGGGAGCAATGGGGACACGGCCCTGCAATTTTGACCCGGTAAGGAAGTGCCCTTTTGAAAGGGGGACAAACTTACGTACAATTATCAGGGTCAGTCACTGTTTCATCTTTGAATTCAATAGTCACGGTTAGCATAACAAATGTCTGTGCCCCCAAATTCATGTTTGTTTCGCCATCTATGAATCTAAAAGAGAAATGTGCTGACTGAGATGATAGCTATCCCAAAAACATGCGGATATGAAACATTTCAAGTAAAACTGTTGTTTTTTTAGAAATAACACGTAGTCTAGACTATTGCTATAATGTTTTTTGTTTTTTTTATTAACATAAGATAGCATTAACAGCTTTTTATCACGTGTTTAATTCATGGTGATTCGAAAGAGAAACTCAAATAGTTTTTTTTTTTTTAATTTCGCGCAAAGTTACACGAGGG